CATGGGAAAAGTATTTTTAAAAGATAATTAACTGCACTACTATTTATGCAACTATTAAAATGAATTAACAGTAAGTGAGTTGCACCATTAAGTACAACAGGAGCAACACAGAGAAGTGAAGGTGTGCAAAAATGATGATTCTGCAATCTGTAAAGACTAAATTCTATCACTTGTAAAACTAATTCAGAGTAGTATTTATAGTAGTGTACTAGTATTGATAATCATAATCATATTTATGTTTGCAATGGACCCAACAAAGAGTCAATACTGGATACCCATAATCTTCAAGGCTGCATTTTTGATAGTATGAGCAAGCAAAGGTTGGTCAACTTGCTCAATTTTGTCATGAATATATATGACCTCAGCCATAAAAAGCGACAGTCATTTCCCAACATAACTTTGCAGTGAGTCTTAATGTCAAATATAAAGCAACGTTGGTGGTTGGAAACATATTTCTAATTCTTTTTTTCTTTTTCACTCTTTCAAAAACCTGTTTAAGACTAAAAGTGCTTTTGTTGTTTGGTCGGTAAATAAATTGCAGCGACTAAATAGTCTTTTTCCACGCATAACAACTTGAAAGCTTCAATATTTTTGCATGACGTCTTGATAACAGCTTACATTCTTACTCTTATTGTTTTTATCCACTTATTTGACAGTTTCTCTGTTGTTAATTTCCAAATAGTTTCTAGCTATTCCCAGAGACTTTCTTTGGACTAAACTTTGTGTGATCAATTATAAATTAATCTATTACATAGTATATGCATACAATATATATATATATATATATATATATATATATGTGTCTTAAGAGTATGTATGCGCCAGCTGGTTCAGTTCGGGAGATTAGAGGAAAAACGACGACAGAAAAATTAAGAGAAACGATCGTGGGCTTTGTCCTTGCCGACACAATTCAGTCTGAAAACTCAATCTCTCTACCCAGGTGCGGCAGTGTGACAACAATGGTGGTTTGAACAAAGGCCTACCTTTTCTGCCTTGCCCCATGAAGCGGTTATTGGCCATATAAGCACCATGATCATTGAAAGAATGATTGCAAAGTAAAAGGAAAGGGATTAAAAACTATGGTTGTGCTGGGATTTTTTTTTTTTGGGGGGGGGGTTCAAGGAGACATTACATTACATATTTTACCAGAATTTTTAGTCATTCTGTGCACAATTTTTTATTTGTTGACAGCAAACAAAATGGATAACTCAACACACAGTGTAAGAATATTGTGATGTTGTGTTTATTTAATAAACCATAATCTTTCTAAGACAGTGAGTCTATGAGATTGAGTTAAATCTATATACTTAATCTTATTCTACCTAATAATAATTTGTTTATTTCTGAAAAACTCATTCTAAGACACTCTTAGGTCATCCACCTCCAAATATCATGTGGAAGTGAATTCGATTCCTTGTTGTCCCATGTTAAAAACAAATATCTCCACAATTTTTTAGGAGCTTCAGAATATCAATAACAAAGATTTACTCCAAATCAGCCACAAGTAAGAGAAACAAACAATCAAAAACAAAACAAAACGTCCGACCTAACAGATGACAATCATTCTAAATCCAATTATTCAACAATGGATCCCAAAGTTTTCATCCATTCAAACACTTTTGTGTTCCTATCTCTTAAAATATGAGAAAAATAGTGTTTTCCAATCTGTAGGGTCTCTTTGCTGCCACCATAACTGTGTGAGTATGCAAAGATAGGGTAAAAGACGAATGCTTAGTGTGCTGATTTGGACTTTCATTTACCAAAAAGCTGGGTTGCTGAGAAATGGAAATAAAAAAGAATGTATAAATGTAAACATCTGACACATCCTCTTTTTGTCGCCCCCTTCACGACTGTTTTCAGATATCTTGCTGCCATTTAATTCATCACGAACATATCTTTTCATTAAATAGTAAAACATTTGAAATGTTTTCAATGTTTTATCCTCAATCATTTATGGGCTTTCATTTTATGTTGTAGAGAGACAGCAGAGTGAAATTTATTTGATGAAAATGTTGAAAAAGAAAGAGTGAATTGAATTAATCCATGTCTGTTTTGTCAAAAACTGTGTTCGTTATAAAAAACTGTAAATATGAAATCTTCTCTTTTATAGGCAGCACAACTTGTACTTAATCAATTCATCATTGGAGTTTGAATAATATGCAAAATATGTGATATATTTCTCAGAATAAGAACTCAAAAAAGTCATTTTAAACAAGATTCAAAATATCAAATATTCTTTCTCACAAAATATAGTTGGTGTTTCTTGCCAAAACAACCTTTTTTTATGATTCCTGAATGTTCTCTGTACGTCTACAGGGCTGTGACCCGTCCAGTTCTCATCCTGCTGCCCGTCCTGGGTCTGACCTGGCTGTGTGGAGTGCTGGTCCATCTGTCTGTGGTGGTCGCATACATCTTCATCGCCCTCAACTCTTTCCAAGTATGCAAACTATTAGAGTCAGTATTGGAGAACCATACAGGGAACCGACTGAAAAGTTTAGTTACACATTGTGATGCAACATTTGCACTTCACACGATGCAAAGACCATGCTTTAAGGAAAAGTCTTTTTAAATTTTGAAGTTCTAAAAATACTATCATGACTAAAACAAATGCAAAGAGGGTTTGAATGAGTATAGTCTATCACATGTTAAAATGTTGGGATGAGAAATCGACTACTAAAACAAAATGCTAATTAACTAGAGTTGAGAATATCACAATATTTTGGTAAATAAATATAGAAGCAACACTAGGGAGAAGCAGTACATCCAATGATTGTGGGATCAACAGATACTTGAAATCCAAACTTCCAAAACTGCTTTAAATCCAGTAATGTAAGGAAATTGTATCTGCCATCCCAATTACAGATGACAAGGATGGCATAGTACGGTAGAAAAATCATGGCTGAATTCATCACCATCCCCCCAATTTAAGAATGTCTACTGCCTTATTAGAAAGCCATATTAATCTTTAATATCTGAAGCTGACCAGTGATATAATATGCAATGTGAATATTTGTCTTGATGGCATTTTGCTCAGGCTCACAAAATCAGAATCAGAATCAGAATCAGAAATACTTTAATAATCCCAGAGGGAAATTATTTTTGTTACAGGCTCCATAAGCAAAACAAAGGCATATACATATGTACATGTCTATACATATATACATATATATATACAAAATTCCTCATAAATATAGCTAGATATATACATAAGAAACAATATGTGTATATGTAGGTCAAAATGAGAGGTGGATATTGTCAATGATTAAGATTTACTCTCAGAGGGAAGCGTTGTACAGATCAATAAGTAAATAAGAACGAAGTAAGTATCTGCCTAAAAAATAAAAAAGTAAGAAGTAAGTATCTTCTTTTTTTTAAAGTAAAGAAGTAAGAAGTAAGTATTTTCTTTAATGTTAGAATACGAGGGACAACAGTGTTCCGTATAATATACATTTCAGGCACTGATCCTTCACAAATAGAACCAAATTGTTTAGGATAAAAGTTAAGGTTGCTGACAGTTAACCTTTAGTTGTATTACTGCATGGCACTGAACCTTATATAGAGTTTATGGCAATATTTTTATTTGATTGTCATAAATGTCGCTAAACTATTTTTGCTGTGCTCGGCACTTAAACAGATAATAAAAAAAGAAAAGATAATTCAGACAAACAACGAGAATGAGGGTCAATTGGAATGATAACAACAGTAAACAGAAGTGTTTTTTGTGATTTACCCTTTGTGTGAGAAAAATGTAAAGCCAGGCATTTAAAACTCATTTAAACATAGTTGTTGAATGCCTGAAAAACCAGTTGAGAATATTCAAGTATATTCAATAGTCTTTTAAAGAATCTTTGATTTTAAAAGTAACTTTTGGATTAATGTGTCATTTCCTTCTGATGCTTCTGAGTTATTATCTCAGAAAAAGAAAACTACTGTACTTGTATAAAGTTAGGCTAAAGGAATAATAAAGAAAGGAATATTTAAAAGTGAAAAAAAACACTTTATGTGATACACATTAATGAAAAATGTTACGTTTTTTTATTTTCTATTTCCAATACAGTGCAGCTGCTGATGCAGAGTGTGGAGATGTGTGTGTAGAAGTGCATGTCCTTTTTTTAATTTTATGCCTCAGTGACATTTAATCTTTTTTTGCGGTTTGCAAATATATCTTTTTTTAACACATCTTTATCTGCTCATTAAATTTAATACGGTGCTTGTGCACTAATATACCTGAGTGTCTCATGTGTGTTCACGCCCCTGTGTCTCTGTGTGTTGAGCGGGTGTGTGTACGTGTGTGTGTGTGTGTTAGTGTGTGAGTGTGTGTGTGTGTGTGTGTGGGAGGTGGCAGCCTGTGCTTTGAACAACAGGTCATACCAAATCTACCTCCAGCTCTCCTCCTCAGATAACATAACACTCACTTCCTCTCTCTCACACACTTCCTTTTTCTCCGAATTCGTCCACACACACTGTCTGGGTTTCTTATGCCTTTCTGTAATTATCTTACCCTGTCTTTGCTTGTTCTTTCTTACCCCTCCCATCCCTCATTGCCCTTCCCTAGGTCTCTAATTAATCAAATTGAGCTAGCCCCTGGGTGACCCCTAGAGAGCTGCTAGTTAATTTAGATTTACTGCCAGTGTGCAGTTGAGGCCAGATAACGCCACAGTAGGAGTTCTTCCTTGTGAAGGTAGGAGGATGATGCCAAGCCAGCCCATCGTCCTGCAAAAAATGAGAGAGAGTGAGAGGGAAAGTAAGGAATAAAGAGCAGGGAGTGAAGGCTTCTGGACAAAACGGTACTGAATAAGATCCAGCAAAAGTAAGACCCACAAGTGAAACATTTTCTATAGAAGACAGAATACTTTACATTTAGGAATCATCAGCCTCTCTATGTTTTTTCCTTATAAATATTTGAGCCAAACAGTTCCACGTTTGTTTTTTCTTGACGGGTCATTCATGTATCTGTGACTGTTGTGAAACAAAAATAGACAGAATCATCCAAAACTAATATGTACAAAGACATTTGTGGGTTAAAATGACTTCAAACTAATAGCACACATTTAGCACAGTTAAAACTAATAGAGTGCAATTGAGTTCAGTGTTATTTACTGTATGTATATATTACTATAAATGTAATCTCTGAGTATTCAAAGATACAATCCAGTTCAAGATCAAAATGAATTTTAAGTCAAATGCAATTCATTAAATTGCTAATCAGTCCTAGTCTTACAGGAGCAGTTAAACAAAAATGTCCTCGCTTAGGGAATCAGTCGAATGTACTAAAAGAGATCCATCCAGAACACACAAGAGTCGGTTTCGGACAGAAAAAAAACTCCCTTTTAACAAGAAGAAACATTGGGGAGGACAGCCATCTGCCTCACCCGGAGAGGACAGGAAAGAGTATAAATAAACATTGTATCTCCAACTCAGGAAAACTAGCTGAGAAAGAAAAAAAAAAAGAAGCACACATTAATAAGATCAAAATAACAAAGAGGAAAATAGAACCAGTCAGTTCAGTTCCACTGCATCAGAATTCCCTCCAGTTGTTGCTGTGTTTGTGTCTGCTTGAAGATGTAGCATCGGATTATTTAATTACTCATTGCATTTTGTGTTTGTCCAGCTAAAGAGTGTACAATCTTGATAATGATTGATCTGAAATCACTTCACACAACTAATTTGATTTGTGTGAAGTTCTGACCAGTCATAAAGATCAGTCAGTGCAAGAGGTGGTCCAAAAACAATTGAAATCATGATCACTGAGAGGCATATTCTAACTCCAAGTTTGAAAAAATTGTGGTTTGAGTAACTACTTAGACGATTTTTTATGCTGCATCACGTTGGATTAGTTGTTTATTTCCTGTTTAATGGACAATTTTGTCAATCCCAGAGCATCCTCATTGCTCACACAGAGGCTGACCACTCTCATCCCATGACTGACAATCCTTCTGTTTGACTTCCTTTATACCAATGATGTAAAAATATCACCGCAAATATTAAAAATAAATACGAAACGTCAATTCACATAATTTATCCTCACAACTTCAAAAATCCATGTTTGTGGATTGTTTGGTGATGATTGGGTTAGAGCACATACCATGTTAGCAAGATCAGTTTACTATGATTGGATTCATTTTTGCAACACATTTTAAGGAACTATAAATAAAGTCTTAAGGAATGTGTTTTGTTAACTTTTATTAAAAAAAATTTTTTTTATAGTTTTTTACTTTAAACCAACCACATGCCTCCTCTAACTGTAATAAGTGTTCTAAGTTCCATGATGATCAAAGCTCTGACAAGCTGAATGTTTTTTTCACATTTGTTTCATAATAGCTCTGCTTTAACAGTTGACCCAAAATATTATTTAAACCCCAAACACTGATCCAAAAACATAATTTACCAAATGAATGGTCCCCCATTAACTTTATTTTCCTCGCAATATCTTTACTTCTCCATCAAGTTTGATTAACTGTAGAATAACTGTAGGTAATGAAAGACAATTTTCATATTCATATTGTCACAATGGTCACTTTTGCTCATGGTATTTTCTATGAAATTAAAAGAATGCATTTAATTAGCATTACTTTACAGTTCTCACTATGAAACATTCAAACTTTAGGGACACCTGAAACAGGATATTGGACCTCTTTCCCCAATATCATTGAAAATGATCTGAAATTCTCTTTTAGATTGTAATTAAGAAATTTCTTAAGAAAAAACTCTACATCATATCCATAAACATGTCCATTGACTGTGAAATTGCTTGTATCTTTGCTCTTAGAGGGACTATTTCCAATATTTTGAAACTGAAAGGACATACCAGATGAATGGCATAAGACTGGAGGGCAATGTGCAAAAACACATCCGGCATGCGTGCCTCCGATCAAATAAATAAAGCCCCTGATGAGTCCGAGGGCTGGACCAGGCCATATCCTTGATCTCATAGTAAAACAAAATATCGTACAAAGCCCCTGTGGTCGAATATTTAGCCTCTAAAAATATATTTACCAATCAAAAACACAAAATCGGGCACAGCTTGTTGGATGTGTATGCCCACAGTGCTGTTCTGTAAGATGGAGGAGTTGTGTTTGTCCACCATGTTGCGGTGGGAGTGACCAGTGAGCTGGACGTGATGTCCTAGAGCTGTGGAGTCTGGATTAGTGGTTTGGAGCATGGTTCTGCTCGAGGTTTCTGCCCGTTAAAAGGAAGTTTTTCCTTGCCTGTGTCGCCTAGTGCTTGCTCATGGTGGGAATTGTTGGGTTTCTGTAATTATCTTCAGAATAGGGTCTGACCTGCTCTGTTTGTAAAGCGCTGTGAGACAACTGTTGTTGTGATGTGGCGCTATATAAATAAAATTGAATTGAAATTTAATTGAGTTGTTTGCAGCTGAGACATAGGAGTGAATCTCCCCAGCTTTGATTGTGCTCGCATTGGCAGTCTATTGACCAAGAAATTGGTCTAAGTCCCCTCTTGACTGGGACCTGTTCTTCACCTGTATGGGACAGCTTTATGCATTGTGTGGTCAGGTGATTTATTGCAACCCACAGCCCGTGGGAGAGCGCGGCCGGTGGAGCGTTTCGATGTTCCCGCCCCGTTTTTCCCATGGCCCAATCGCCGAAGGTCAAGAGAACCTGCTCATGTGGTGGAACAGGGTTGGAGAGCAGTGCTAGCTCTTAACAATTGCAAATATCTATGAGAACAGCTCTTGCTAGCCTCTAAATAGGCGTTTTCTGCAAATAAATTGTGATCTGTCATAAAAAATTGATTGATCAACAGGAAAAATTACATTTTGTAAGCAGGCCTGGTTTATAGAAAGATCATGTTTAAAGATCATGTCTTAAAGTAGGGAAATTGCCATATTTAATTGAAAATATCACTGTCATTTCATTGATGTGTTTTAATAAACGGTATGTCAGAAAACAACAACTACACAACAACACAGGTAAAAGAGATGACAATTCATTAGTCCTCATATAAAAACAGCAGGATTTAAAAACAAATGAGTTCTTAAGAACTTTTGATTAATGGGTTCTTATGATCCCAGAACTTTGACAAGACTATAACTTTTTGAATAATGATACATTTCAATTTGAGCCCTGCAATTTCTGATACATAAGAATATATTGCAATGTCAAAGAGTCAAGAAAGACACAATGAAGAGCACATAAAAAATGTCAAGAGACCAAAAATCTACCTCTGGGTCCCTCAGGCAGTTTCAGGCCCAAAATTTTACAAAACAAAAGTTGACACTACTATAAAATGACATATTTTAAACAGCATTTTATTGTATACCAATACAGTTTAACGAGGTCCAGTGTTTGGGATAAAGACTTTTCTTTTCTTTTAATCTATTCAATATTTCTGAAAGGTGATTTGTCAGTTTTATTCAAAGAGATTTATTTTAAATTCATTTTGGCTGCTAAGTGAAAGCAGCACCCTTTTAAAACCAAACAAAGCTCTTCCTTATGGGTGAGGAAAACTATAAGGAGCTGTGTTTAAAATACTTAGTTTTTCATAAAAAGAAAAGTATAGTTTGACCGAGGTCATGAAAGGTTAGATTTAGATGCATTTAATAGTTTTCTATCTCACACTTGCCTGTCTCCTCTCTGCAGGGCCTCTATATTTTCTTGGTGTATGCTGTTTACAACAGTGAGGTAAGACGCCATTCAGGCCATTGTTAGCATTGTTAGCATTGTTAGCTCTGCTGCAAAGTATAAGAATGTGTCTTTTGGACAAAGTCAGTATTAAAACTACCTCTCATATAGGTGAGGAATGCCATAAAGAGGATCAAAGAAAAAAGAAAGGCCTTATCTTTCACGGTGAGTGCGTAAAGAACACATAGCGGCGACAGAAACTGGGTTCATTCCTAGCAAAAAATGTTGTTCGTACCAGAATTCCAATTTTGATTGGATTCGATGTGATTTCAGAACTGCTCTCAGCCAACCAGCTTCCTGCCGTCCCAGAGAGCTCCGGTTACCTCGTGGAGACGTAGTCCACCCACGCCGTCCAGCCCGGAGACCAGTGAGACCTCTGGACCCACCAGTTCCACCTCCACATCACTGGTCATCAAGAACGGTAGGCTTTACTGAGGTGCTCCAAAAAGCGTATTGAAGAACGGTCAAATCGTGCTTAAGAAAGTCTCTGATTTTAAGTTTGTTTTAATTGAATATGTATGGAAGATCCTAACCTACAAAATGTCTAATTAAATTTGATTTAATTCAGTTTTATTTACATAGCAGCACTTCACAAGAAAGATCATCTCAAGAAAATAGAGAATAGATAAATGCATTGTAAGTGTATATATGGTCGTATTACAGTTGTTTCCATATTTCCATATATTCACAATTACTTTTACTGGTTACTGAATAAGGTACTGAAGTGTTTTAATCAGTAACCGGACCCAAGTGTTGCTGTAAATGCCTTGATTTAGATTAATCTCTGTCAATTGTTTACTTTTGCAATAAGCCATTAAATCAAAATAAATCAAAGCAAAAAAAAGAAAAGCTAAGGAATGAGATTCAGCACAAATCCTGTTTATATACAACACCAAAACGTGGAGAAGAAACACAATAGGTACATAAGAAAGAATGACAATGGCCTCAGTTGGAGTTAAAAGGACAAAATCCTAAATCTGCTTACATTTGTCCCTCTTATTACAGGTATTGTAATCAGTTTCTCTGTCCATATATGCTGTAAAGAAATCTTTCCTGTAGCTTTACTGTAGTTTGTGTATAAATGTGTGATGGACATTTCACACCAGATGATACTCGTGCACATTGTGCCCGCCTGATATGAAGCGATTACGGTTTATTATTATAAATCAGCAACACAAAGCAAGTCTACCACAAAGCAGACTAAAACTCTTTGTCACTCAAATACTTTGTGGTTTTGTATTTCTTTGTGTTTGATAGAAAAAAACGCCGTTGTATTGTGTTCAGCTTGACTGTGTCTTCCTTGATTTTGACCTTGCGTAAACAAATGCGATGGTCCTGAAAGACAGAAGCAAACTTCACATTTAAATTGCTGTTTTCTTGTTTGTTTTTTTAGAGAGTTTCAGAAAGGACAGCTTTGTGAGTTTCTCTTTGAGACAAACATCAGGAAACCAAGTGAGTAACATCTGCCACACCGATACAAAGTGTCATACGTTGTCTATTATTGTGCTTTTTTACAATCAATATGTCGTTTGTGTTGTTTCTTTTTTTTAACAGGTAGTGCAGCTAACAGGGTTCAAGCCATCAGGTACGAAGTTTGCATTCATTCACGTCACAAAGGTTTTCACAGCTAGACAAGTCCTTTAATGGGAAATGGCACAAACACAATGCTACACAAAGCAATGTTGAAATTGGAAAAAGAAAACTTTAAAATAACAAATTCCTACATGCTAAAAACAGAGACAAAAGTGTTTCTGGATAGGAACATGTTCATCAAACCCAATCAAATCTACATTTTACATAAAGTGAAAATCAAAAGATTTTGCATTACACCAGCTTTAAAACTGGATAGAGAAAATTCTAAATCCTGCTGCTGTTTAGGGAAGTTTGTTTTGGTTGATTGATTTTTGATGGGTTCCAAAAGTGTGTGTTTGTGTGTTATCCCCGCCTCTCGTCAGCTGGGATAGGCCAGGATAGGTGGGAAAAAATTAAATTTAACTTGTATATATGCATAAAAACCCAGCAGACTGAGCATTTGAAAGATTTCAGAGCCCAAAAAAGAAAATTTGTGCCAATTGAAATCGATTTCATATTTTGAATTCACTGAGTGAAATGAGGTATGCATGATATTGGTCAAAATATAGATTTTTAAGTAATTTTCTTTATGAATATTTTCTGTCCAGTTACAGAAAACTGCTTAAACCCAGGATGTACGTTTTTCTTTTCGAACGTATTCCCCCATTAATGACAAAAACATAATCTTGTAACGACTTCAGCTTCTTGGATCAAAGCTAAGTCTCTGGTAAAGAAGAATCCCGGCCAGGAGGAAGAACAAAAGGATGTCTCCTTTACCCCGATGCTCTCCCTTCTTCTGCATTGTGTGCAGCATTAGGCCCGTGTGAAAACTGTCCGCGCGTCCTTTTGTCGCAGCAAATGTACAGACGGACACAACAGATGGTCCCCCGGTATATCCACCGCGTCAAGTCGGCGCCAGTCGTCCTAAATTGACTGTCGGGAAAATAAGGAACGTCGTCATTGAATCGTCAAATATGGAGGCGTCTGTGAGGAGGGCCTGATGGGTGGCGTTTGAGTGCTCGTTGTCGAGGGAGAGACAAAAGCAAAAGTTCATTCCCGTAATCAGGGGGCAAGACAGCGGTGGCCATTCACACTATCAGCCATTAAGCACTCCAACACCTGCTCACTCTCACTCAGCCTTTCACTCGCCTCCCCTTCTTCTGTTTCCCTTTTGTACACAAACACACTCGTGTGGCAAAGGAACACAAAAATGTCAGATCGAGCCAGGAGTCACCGCTGACGATTTTTCGTTTTTATTTCAACAGGTTGTTGAACAGCAAATGGAGTGGGTCCTGCACTAACTGGCCATACGCGCACCGGTCAGTCTGGAAAAAAATAAAAACATGGGACGGATGAATGCCGGATGGAGAGCGTGGAAGATAACGAGCGTGAGGGAAAAAGCGAAGCTCCATCCAATCCTACAATGACCGCACTGTTCTCAGATCAGATCAGTAGCTACTCCCCCAGGCTCACACTTGTACAATTTCTCCAAACATTTGTTGTGAATTGTTACAGTGGTGAGGATTTTTAAACTCCAACAACCTGTTCTGGTAGTTTGCTCAAAGTTGGAAACCAAACGGTTTGATTCAGTTTTCACTTTCTGGCTAAAATCGGAACTTTTCATCAAGCAGATTTTGTGTTTTGTCACAATTTGTGTAGTTGTGGTTTAGCACTACTTATTTCTCTGCAGTATTAAAGCCTCCATATCACAAAATCCAACAATGTGCTGCCACTTTTGAGGGAGTCATCATTAATCCAGCGGCTTCATTTTTAAGTGAACCTTTGGGATTTTTATTTTTTTTAATTGGAAGAAACAGACATTTTCAAACTTTCATTTTTTTATTTACAATATTGAAGAGAATTTTGTTTATTTTGTGAAGAGGATCTTTGTGCCCCTACGTCTATATCTGGTCAAACCACACATCCCATTTAACTTCACCTATCCTCTTATTTCAGATGGTTAGTTCAAGTTCATCGTGAATACCAAAACTCTTTCGACAGAAAGAGTCTGACTAAATAAAGTTGAGTTGTCACATGCAGTAACTTGAATGCACAGGACAATACTTTAGCAACGTTTGTGTTTTTTTTTCAGATGCAGCAGACATGTCTTTATTATAACCAGCTCCTGCTTTTTTTTTATGCCATCACCTGCATGCTCTATTTTTAGACAATAACAGTATGTAGATGGACATTTGAAGAACAAAGAAAGGATCCTTTGTGAGGTCGTGTACAGTAGCCACTCGTGATAATGTGAAAAAATGACGACAAAGATGTGTTCAGCTTTGGGTAAATTACAAACCTCACGTCGAGCCTGCCGACTGTTTTAAATGTACGCTCCTGAGGATTTCAGTTCACGTTTAAATGTTTAGGAAAATTGGATTGTTGCTCCATTAAGACGAGGCTCAATTGTGTGACTTCAGTATTGAGCTTTATGAATATGAGCTCTGTATATTTTGTGTGAAAATAGTCAATGGAGTGCACAAAACGAGTAAAACACACACACCCGGAGCTTTACTTCATCAGATTTTATTGGTTTGATGCTGTTACAATAAAATATATCTTAAGAAAAAGAAAAAAAAATGTCTTGGCCATTTTCTCTTTCAGAGAAAAAAAGCATTTCAGTGTAAGATGGACATACTGTCAACTCACAAGGGGGGGAAAAAAGAAGAAGTAACTAAGAACAGAAAAAAAAGAAACCAATATTAAGAAAAATCAGCTCCACAACAGTAGCGATTTGACCTCAACACAAAGCAGATCACTTCTATGTAGAAATGTAACTTCATATTGTAGTAGATATTCACTTCACAACATAAATACACTGTACAGAATGATAACACACAGCTGGCTCAACTGGAAAACCAAGGTGCATGTGTGTGTTGTGTGTGTGTGTGTAGGTGTGTGTGTGAGTTCAGGCAGAGTTAAGGCAGGCGGAGTGATTGTCTACAACACGTTGAAATGGTATACAAGAACTAATTTAGCATGGCCACAGAGAGAAAGTCGGCATTACAACAATACAAAAAACCACTTTGGCTGTATTTTCACTTTCTGTATTTTCTGCTAAGGACAGATTCTGAGTCTGAGACCTGGGAGATCCCGTGGCAGACAAAACACAGTAAGTGCCAAAGTTCCGTCCACGATATAGTGCAGTATTCTCTCCCAGGCCGTTTTTTTTTTTCTGATACAGCGTAAATGGGGCCGATAAGGCCTGCCGTGTTCTCCTCTCACTGCCTGAAATCAGTTAGCAACTAGTCATATTTTACAGAGCAACAGTTACTGTGACCGGGTAACACACAGAAGAAAAAAAAAAGCTCTCGAGTTAATACCGAGCCGTCCATTTAGCGGACTGTTTAGAATAAAAAACACCATGTATATCTTATGCTATTTTGACTTGCCTTGCTCTTCATCTTTGCACCCATCTTGCTTTGTTAACATTATTTCAAACAGTCTGTGGTTATGTTCTTCTTTTTTGTTTTTGCTGGCCTTTTGCATTCTTTCGCTATAGTGCAACATTTGTGGACAAGAACAACCCGAGATGGCAGATAAAATACTTTTGGATCCAATAAATAATATCAATAAGAATCACTGACCAAAACTATTTCTGCCTGAAACATTTCTTTGTGCTTATTCAAACTCGATTGGTTGTTTTAAGTTATATACCGTATAAATATGTGTATATAAATATAGTGGTCTTGGGAATGTTTTGGGGGGAATTATTATAATCTTGATCTTTTTGTAACCCAAACTTTTGAAGCTAAAAGGAAACAGAGTCTCAATACCAGGTGCACAGCCTGGTAACATTTGTGCTCGCCTTAAACCGAACGCAGCAGACAAAATGTTTGGCAATGGACCACCAAAAGGAGTCACCACAAATGCTTTAAGGGAAGATTAACATCTTTTGCTCCTGAAACGGCACAGAGCAGGAGAATCAGAACATGTCTTGGTCTCTTCCACGGTTAGAAAGCCACCTCTCGTCAACATTTTATCGCATTAAGAAGGGAAAGGTTTAAATACAGATTTTTCAGGCTGAATTGTTTTCTGGAGACGATCATTTTAATGAATTTCAAAGGTCATCTGTGACCAAATGTTCCACTCCCTCCCTGTGTAACCATTAAAATATTAAGGATAAGCCTCTGTAAAGCCTCTGTAAAGCTTTTCACACTTAAGATTTTTTCTTAAAGGAAACTGCTCTTCTCATATTCAAGCATAAATCATCCCTCCTTTTTACTTGACTTGAATGTATTTTTTCAATTTCTTCATTGTAGCAAATTATCAAATTATACCGACGGATTCTATTTCTTCTTTTGTCATTGTCGTCTTTCACTGGCTTTCCCTACATTTTCTCTCTCCTTTCAGTTTCTGTTCAGTATCAATCTTGATAGGAATACCGCATGAAGATTGATCACCTCCAAATGAGTAGATTTAAATGGTGTAAGTGCATTTTCATCTCTTCTGACTCGATGAGCTCCATGTTACCCCGAAGTCTGTGTTCTGAACCAAAAACCGGTTCATTGATGCTCATTTTAACCCTAATAGCACGCTTTCTGAAAAGAGATGACAAAATCTCAAGTATAAAAAGTGCTGAGACGATCACTTTTCAAACATGCCCCGGCACCAGAGTCTACAATCCAAGTCCTGCTGAAGTGTTTTGCCAAGTTCTCGCACAAATACTTAAGTGTAGATATTACAAAGTAGGTAACTGTACAATATATCCATCTGGAAAACATGTTTAAAAGGCTGCAAACCACTGGTGTTGGCTGGTACTTCTTCCAAATTGAGACATTAGCTCGTCATCTTGTAGAAAATTGTGTCTGTAGTGTTGATATTTTCAAATTTTGTCAAAAAGCAGCTCAGTTAACCCTGGCTAAAAATCTAATTTTCAATGTGGAAAGTCCAGTTAATGAAAGTCACCTCAAAGTAGTTGTGCAGGACATGAAAACAGGAACATTCAAACTCTTTAACCCGATCTTGCGCGTCATTTCAATCTCGAAAGAACATTCTCTCCCTTTCTAACTCAAGCAAAAGCCCTAAAAACGGCATGGCGGTTTGAAATTGGGTCTTAGATTTTTCAGTCTTTTCTGTTATTCCCTGACACTCACGCACACACGCAAACACACACATACGAACTTAGACGTACGACACGTGATGGCTCTCACACACACACTCGTTTGGCATGCAGCATCTCGATCAGCAGGTTGTTGCAGGGCACTTCTCCGCTCACGTGCATGTAGCACAGGTAGTCCTCGGCCTGCGTGCTGAGGGAGCGGAGCTCCGGCAGCCGCACCACCAGCTGGCTAAACTTGTCCTGGAACTGGGGGTAGGTGGACAGCGTGTACTCCAGGAGGGCGCTGTTCACCTGCTCCTGGACGCCTTCCACAAAGGCCTGGTTCTCCAGCAGCTTCACGTCTGCAAACGGACAGAGAAAAGGAACGTGAGCCCTTGGCGAAATTTGCAAATAGATCGATATCTCAGAATGAATTTCAGTCAAATCTGCAGAGAGGTTCAATTCTAAATTGCAGTATATAGGTATAAGTTTACTTCAAACTGGGTTGAATTAGTTTTTCAAGGGTTAAACGTTCTCAGTAGAAAAAAGAAAATCGTATTTATTACAAAAATACGTTGAATGCTTATTGATTTCCTCTTCTGCTGTTGAATAATTAGCAACGGGATGTAATACTGTATTTGGTATGGTATTTGATGTAAAGTTTAATGTAGGATTTCTTACTTGTAGTTTCCAATATGAATGTATAAAATACTAGAATCACTGTGTTCTTATTTTATCATAATGGGCCTATATGTCCACAGCAAAAGTAGGATGTCCCTCTGGATCATAATTTTACAATTTGACAGATCAAATTGGAGCATTTTTCACAGCCAGTTTGTTTGGGTGGCTAAAAATGCATGTTTTGAAATGGGAAGCTTTTCTGTAGCTTGATGTGCTTTCTCCTTGAATGTAACTTAGCATTTTGTAATTCTAACTTGCTTATTTAAAAACCCAGGGTAAGTTACAGACACTCCGAGCTGGTCTGCAGCTGCACAAAATGATTTCTGTGAACTGGACTGGCTGCCCTAATAGTAAACAGGAAGCGTAATAGTAGAGCTGAGTTTTTCATCGTCAGCATGAACATTTAAGGCAGTCAAAGGGATACGGACACTCAACTCTGAAGAGTCCCAGACTGCTAGCCATGCTATCTGGTTTAGAATTTGAATTTAAAATGGAAAATGTTATTTTTCGTCCGGAAATGACAGAGCAACAGCAGCTTTCACGTGTCCTTATGCATCAATTTCTACAATACAAGTACAGGAAGCTCAAGAAAGAAGGCCTTCATTCAAAACATAAAAGAGACGTCCCATACTAAGTGGTTGTATGAGGATACGTAGGAGTGAAAACATATTGTGTAACTATATGGTACAGCACAACAGAGCGTAAATAAAATTGAATTGAATTTAAATGAACAACTATGATTTGTCAAAGTTGTATGTTTTAATGACAGACCAAGATCATTTTCTCAGTTATTTTACTTCTATATAGCAACATTAATCAATGTTAGGGGTTGATATTGCATAAATACACAATAACCAGGTTTCTGCATCCTTTTAAGGTTCTGACAGTCCAAGTAAAGATTCAGTCAAACACATTTTGATACATGCACTTACTATGTTTTAACCTCATAATGCCATTCGTATCATATTTGATACATAAAGTTTCTAATTATTTTTTTCTCCCTTTATTTCTCTTTGTTTGATTCTGTGTCAGTCTTTTATCTATTAAGCTTTAATGAGGTACACACGAGTATCAAACCCTGTCATTTAGTAATCTTGATTAGACTTGAAGTGAAAGTCAAAATTATGTTCACAAGTTTTACTCTGTGTCAAAACTGGAGAACTTTCATTAAAGCAATAGATCATGTAACACTGAGACATATCGGATAAATATTAACTCTGTTAAATCCATTTAAATTTAATGTCTATTCGTGCTCAAAGGGAAATTAGATAATTCCATAACATGATATAGAATTGGATACCGGTGCTTTGTTTTTCTTTTCCTTTCAGGATTTAAAGAGAGAAGATAGATGCACAAAGACAATTATATATTTGAAATATCAACAATTTTTTTCTAAAGCATATGACTTCAAATTGATCGAGTAAGTCATCATATAAGTGATCAGTCAATCAGTTGGGCTATAGTAGATGTGTTTTTGGCTCTATTACTGTTAACTTTATGCTTAGAGTAGCATAATGAAGGGGATGGGGTGCTTCTATCTATGTGTGTTTATGTCTATTCATAAGCCACGTAGGGTTTCTGTGCATGTGTGCCAGTGAGACAGTCGCCAAGCCTTTTTAGCCGAGCAGCATTCAACATCAGCTGAGTCCATCTCGGAGAATCTATTCACGCAGTAATTAAGTGTTTTGAATCAGTGTTCGGAGTCTTCTTTTCAAACAGCTTAAGGGCAATTAAATTACCCCCCAACAAACCTGACTCTGAAGATGAAGCGGAGCAAAAAAAAAAAAAAGCTGCTGGCAAAGACAGCAAATATTTTTCTCCGTAGGACAAGTGCTGTCCCTGTTGAAAAGCCCCTTTGTTCCCTGCTTTGCAGCGCTAAACAGCAAACACTTCTGGGAATCTAGGCAAGCCACGTCTGTGCTCTCTCCATCTGCACAAGCCACCGCATGAATGTCGTTCCCACTATCAAACGATAGACCAATCCATTACTCTTCTTTTGAATGCCATTAGTGGACAATGGATGAGGTCGTCTTTGTTAATGTTGGCTTTTGTCGAGCCTAGAAATTTAATTAAGTGAATTTATTCGAGGGGAAAAGGCCAGTTTGGAAAACACTTATAACCTCATATTAATAGAGACGGCAGATTATCGGCAATTATAGCATTTTTTTTCATTCAGATGGCAGTGTTGCTATTCAAATTCTGAAACACTTATGGCCGAGCGCCTCCAACAAGTTGATTGATTTTTTTTTTTTTTTTTGCTTCAGCTATCCTTGTGAAGATGCAGCATCTGCTCGCTGCACTCACCGGTTTGTGCCTTTGAAAACGCAGCTATTGTCGAAATATGAATCAGAAAAATACTGTAAATCAAACATGCAAACCGTATTCCCATTTTAACCGGTTTCAGTCCAGAATCTGGATATGTTCTGATTTGTCTGAGAAATGTATCAATGACGTTCTTTGATTTAAAACACATGCTTGTCAAGTTTTTGTGTGGGATTTCTGTTGTGCAAAAAATGAGGCAGACTCACTGGGGTTGAACAGAAGGAGGAACTTTAAACAGGCGATCTCTCGACGGTCAACCTGCTGCGCCCGCAGCCTCGCGGCCATCTCTTGACCTCTCTGGACCAGACTGGACAGACTTCCCTCAGCTTGTAACAGGATGGACGATATTTCGATCTGCAACCACAGGCAAAAAGTTAGTTTTACCATTATTTATATAGCCCCTTTTGAGTTTCATTATAATAATGAAATCCAAAGCTTTTTGTCTAAGGACAATTTTGTGATGTTTCATTTTCTTTCTTTCATTTAGTGTCAAAAAATATTTTTCATCATTTAAAAAGATTAATGCAACACTGTCTCTCGCTCAATGTAAACTTGGATAGGCTCCAGCCTCCCTCACTATCCTACTTGGAATAAATAGACTAGACAATGATTTAAGGATAGACTAATGCACATAACGCTGTAAAAATCTACAATAGAAGATGAATCATGTTGGAATTATATTTGTCAAGATATCAGCTTGTCATCAAACCAAGAAATGTGGCAATAAATCCTACTGCCAAGAAATTATTGTGACATTTAATCTGAAAAAAGTCAAATCAAATTTAGCACCTATCACCTTTAAACATTTGCTGGGGTTTTTTGTTGGGTTTTTTTGGTTTGTTTTTTATGGTTAATGACCAACACTCCGAAAGATTACGTTGAAATTATACAGCTGAAATTATGCAAAGACACAAAGATAACAAGGTAAATCAGTTCACAATAAACCGAGGACCTCTAACATCTGGTTTTATTAACATGTTAAATCTAATGTGGGTCCCTTGCATTGCAATTACACTGAGTGTACCATTGCCACAATGTTAGAAATAATCAATTTAATATCACCAACACCTTTAACACTGTGACACGAACAGATACAACTGTTCAAAAGTCCATTTTTGTTTATCACTAGCATGTCCATGTATGTAATCGTATCGGTCGTGACATCTATAATTCAGATCCAAAGACTTTCTGAACATGAGTTCATGAAACTGAGAAAAGAAAAATACAAAAACTAGCTACAAATATAATTTTCTGGCTGCAAAAGGGAGCTGTCAGACTAGTACATAAAACTACTGGCCGTGAACCAAAAAGCCCCCCTGCTTATCCAATTAAAAAAAACTAAGACTTGTAGTTTTAAAATAGGACTGTCAGAGAAAAAAAAAATGTAATGTTTGGAGTAAAAGTGACTTATTACATGAAAGTATCCAAAAACGATCATAGAGTTTGATGTTATAAAACTAAATGGTGAAGACCAGGATTCAAATCAAAGGTCAATCTGTGGAACTATTTCTGTTCCAGTTTCCTTTTCCAGTCCTTTTCTTTTCATATTATAGTCCCTGTTTTTGAATTCATGTTCATGTCATGTTTTGAATCTTTTGATCTGTCATCTATTCAAGACAGTCTGAGACGTCTTCATTTTTTAAAGATTATATTCCTAAACCTATTAAACCTTATTGTGGAACGTATTTGTTTAATTTGACATGAGTTATGCTAATTGATCCGCATGAGCAGATTCTATGTTATTGACTCATTTAACATTAAAATGAATTAATACTATTTAAATAGCTAATTTATGGCATGCTAATTGGGTGATTTAAATTGATATTGGTATAAGTGTTAACATATCTGAGTTTATTTTAAACATTTCTGCCCTTGAAGAGCTACAAACACTTCAAAAAATGGAACTCTGTGGGCCTGAAAATTAACACACAAAGTTATTAGTTTTGGTTCAAAATACGACCGTCAATTTTTGGATGCATAAAAAAACATAGACATTTCAAAACAAAGGGGCTGCTGACTTTGAGAATTGAAAATAATAAGAAACAAAAGGCAATAGTGTGGCTTTTGCCAAACGCTTTGGAAAAGGCTCCTTTTTTAAGCACATTGTGAATGAAGTGCAATAAAAAATCTCGGTTGCTTGGATGGGAAGTTGTGCAAGGGGGAGCTATTACCTCTTGGCCAGTCACCAGCAGAATACTGTCTTCCTTTCCATGCTGCACTTGTCTGAAAATGTGATCCAGGACCAGAAGTTCAGACCAGCAGTTGTGGAGGAGCTTCATTTGATCTCCCACCTTGAGGAAATGAGACATTTGGAGAGAGAAAAAAACCACAGATAGATTTTAGACCAACACTGTCCTCATTTCAACCACAGAGTTTGGGGCTGTACTTCCTAATCTGTCAAACCTGAAAACAATCATGCATAACACACTTAATGATGTAGCAATGACACGCTAATAGTAAAAAGATAAATAAGATTAAGGCATTATTTGTGTCTGTTTTGTGTTTTTAGAGCTTAGCTATATGAGTTCTTGCCATGCTTCTCATTTTTCTGTATTTATGAGCACCGCCTGAGACCTTTTTCAACCTGCTAACCTTAACATTCCCACCTTTCCCACTCACATCTGCTCTGCTCTGGGGGATGGGCGCGTGTGTACGTCTTTTCAGACCAAGGCCCCCCCCCCCCCGTCACCCTCCGGCCCGCCCCACTACAATATTGTCAGCAAAGTGAAGGACATGCTAGTCCGGTAATTTTCTGCGGCCGCAGCTGTTAATAGAGCCAGACGCACATTCATCTGACACGGGCTGACAGGATTACTGTTTATCTGAATGAAACTATATATCAGTGGCAGAGGAGGTCCCATCTCGTTGGCCACACTCATCTGTACTGGGGTGGGGGGGGGGGGGCTGCATGTACAGGGATAAAGGAAGGGGTTAAGGAAGTAAGAGGTCTCAGCGACCTGCTGGGGCTTCCTCTCTAAGAGGAGTTGGACAACACTGTGACCAAAAAAAATAAAAAAAATTGCTCTGAAAATAAAACTGTATGCAGAATGTGTTAGCTGAAGGGAAGAAGAGCTCTTGCTATATGCGTCTGAAAGTGTTATATCAGGTTATGTGTCCCAAATGTCAACAAATCATCCAAACTTATGTGATGAAATGTCAGAAAATAGTATATAAGATTTGATGATCAGTGTCATGTTTTAGAAATAGCCTTTTTGGAAGTATTTTTCACCACAAAATCTACAAAAATTGAGCTGGTAAATATTACACAACAGTAAACATGTTCTTTTTTAATTTATTTTTTATTTTTTATAAATTAATGGGCTAGATAATTGTGTGAGATATCCATGTTTTTCTAATCCAATCAAATTTTAGTATGGGTTTAACCTCTCTAACCCTAAATAATCAGTTAAACCACACTATAATTTCTATATGCATTAATCCAAACAACCATTCGTGCGAGCAAGAACTTTTGTTGAACAATATTGTGAATGTTACTGAAACTTTACAAACTGATCATTTGTGTTTTACACCAGATTTGACCCACGATTATTTCTTTATTAGTTATTTGAAACATCTAAAGTATATCATATTTGAGACAGTTTATGTTAAGTAAAGCATAAGAATGTTAACACATGATCAGAAATGTTACGATTTTTGACAATGCAGAAGTTTTACAAAGTGCACACCATAGGTGGGATGCTATTTTGGGGCAAAACTTGGGCATAAAGTTCTTTTGAGAATGCAAAGACACTGCATTGTTTCACGTCATGGACCAGAGCAGCATGTATATTACTTAATATTTTAAATGTTCAAATTGTTTTTTTTTATTACTACTTTACAAAATAATTGTTATCTGTGTTATTTCCAATTGGGAATTTACAGTAATTAAATACAATTCTCTTGTATCAAGTCACAAAAAAGTTCACCTTGGTTCTTTACAGCAAAAGTGAGGAAGTTGAACTCAATTGCATTTAAAACAAACCCATTTAGGATTACTTTGATTTTCCCTACAAATTTTGTAGCAAATAGTACTATTGCATATTGATTGTTGTTACCCAATCATGTTCTTGTATTTACACTTTATTAACACATGAGTACCTTAGAGAACACAACGTAAACAGATCATGCTAAAAGAATTAAATATCAATATAATCTTACCAATACCAAATAGATCATCTCCTCTAGTTGGTCACATTTGAAAATAAATTCAATACATTTTTGGGGATGTCAAACTAAAAAATATTGCTTGGTATTATTTTCAGATTTCCCATTGTATCCTAAATACCACGATGAACAATGTAGTAAACTTTTTTTTTTAAATAGCCTTGGTGAACAAGTACTGTCAATCAAAAGCCACTTCCAAACGTTAGCTGCCAACTCCACTGGCCAATGCTGTCACAGCCATTTTTTTTTATCAGTCCAGGGTACAATAAAGGCCACTTTTGAGCAGATATATATAATATTAGTTTCAACCTTTAAAAATCAGATCTGTTTAAAACAAAGTAACAAAAAATACCAGATACAAAACCAAATGGAACAACTGGACTCTGCTTGCTGAAAGCTAGAATCACTGTGGATGATATTTCGAGATATTTGATCATTAAATCTATTCTTTATATAATGGAGATTCCAAGACTGGTGTAGCTGTTTTTAAGTCAAGCATGAAAGACTTTTGGCTTTCAATTGTTGGTGAGTCTAATGCTGAAACATTCTGTGCCTTGGAAAATAACTAAGGCCAAGAAATTATTGTTATTCTGTCACAAAAACTGAGCATAAATAACATTAAAATCTTTGTATAGCAGTATGAACAGAAAACACCTAAAAAAAAACATAAGAACACAAGCTGTGAGCAGGTCAGTTAACCCCTGACCTAAACTGCTGGGTTTTTTTTTTCTCCAGTTTTGATTTTGTAACATGTAACTTTGAAAAGATGCTACATCTATGCATAGATGACAGCACACATTGACACCGCTCGGAGACATGTTACTTTTAAACCACATGTCTGTAATCGCCAATGGCTGTAGCTTCACATTTACGAGATGTATTTGATGTGCCTTCGCAATATCGTCCGTGTTCAACAGGTGAATGGAAGGCCAAACACAAGACAAGATAAATGCCACCTCTGGGGGAACCGCAGCAATCAATACCTCCCATCCTGCAAACAATTTAATAAAAAATGTAGGCGAGCGCAGAGCCGAAGCTGCAGCGAGGGCTGACATTCCCCTGTTATCGTCTGTATGGAATGTAATTATCCAGCCCAGGGAAACAGCTCTTTCAGCAGGAGGCTTTCTTGGCAAAATATGCATAGCTTTATTCTCACCGTCCGTTTTGGCTTTTCTGCTGTTCTGGCTCTCGGCAGAAAATACATCAAATGCAGACAAAAGGAGGTTTGGAGGGAGAAAAAAAAAAATGATCACGATGAGAGAAACTGTTGATTTACGAAATGCGAAAGAAGAAAGTAGATAAAAAGGTATAATAGCCAATTAAGATGCATCAAAAGGTTCCATTTACTGATGTTAATAATCTGGCTGCTACACAGGGGTTTATTTATTTGTGTTGTCCAGCAAAATCACATACAAGGCATGAGTCAGTCCAGAGATTAAACTGGAGATTATACTACTCAAGACAATAGTTCCATTGTTTTTCATGTGTGTGGATTGCTAGACCTTTTTGAAAAAAAACATATAATGTCTTTAAAATAGCCTTCAACAAATCCTTCTTAAAATGGCACGAATAGATAAATGTCCAGTTGTGAAATCCAGTGAAAAATCTCTAAAACACCAACTGAAAAAAGTCAAGTAGCAGGCCAGACAAACAGTCATTTACTTTTGACGTATTTGATCATAACTGATAAGATTTAGATTTGATATTTTCCACTATTATTCCCATTCCATATGGTTAGATATGAAGACAAACATCCACATCAGCACAGAATGTGGTTCAGATTTTTTTCAGAATAACTCTGTTATTCATCACTGTTGTCACTCTGGCGAAAATACTCAACAACAAACACAACAAAATAGCACAACCAATAGCAACATCATGTCATTGCCTTGAGCAAAACTTAAAAAAGTTAGATGGAAGCTGTTTTTGCTTCAACATATTCCTGTGCATTATCGTTTTTAATTCATTTTCTGGGCATAGATTACACTCAGTGAATATATGTTTTTATTTACAGCATTATAGGTGTTAATTTCTTGGAAGCAAGAAAATATGAACTGTCTCTGTGCCTTATCTTCTGCTTGGTAGCACAGAGATAAAGCATCCCTCTGGCACTGTCAATATAAGATACCTTGTTTTGTTAGTGTGGAAAAAATGCAACAAATCATCGCCACCACAATGTGAACTTCGCTTTTTTGAGACAAGAAACGTACAAAAGTAACAAGGAAAAAAAACGCCAATCCCACTTGAAATGTTGGGAGTACAATATCCAATCATATTTTCCACTCACTCACTCTGCGTCCCTTACTTTTCGTACAATCCAGCTGCACGCAGTCGAGCATTTCTATATGTTGGAGTTGCCAAGGGAACTGGATGTCAAAAGAGCAGCACTAAGAGGGAAAACGTTGGGTTGTTTGTTTCGAAGCATCCCTCCGCAGTCCAATTACATACTTGGATTCTATCTCCTATGAAGAGCCCAAACCAGCTTTAAAATAAAGACTCAAATATGATCTTCCTCTGTGTGTTGATTTTGATTAACTACTCTCAAACAACCCACTGGGTGTCGTTCTCATGGAACCATTTTGTGGAAGTCTCTCAGGTGGTGTGGCAGCCATCATTAGAAAATCTCAAACCACTATAAACCCCCACCTACGTGAAACTATAGCCACATTATGTACTTGGAAAAACAAAACACAAAAGATTTCCTGTGCATCCGTGTGTGTGTGAGAGAGATAGTGAATTTATGGATGTGACTATTTAGACTGTATTTTGTTGTTACTCTTTAGACTTCTCAGGTGTAAAAGTCAACCGTGTGAGTGTTTTATATTGATCCCAGACAGGAGTGAAGTCCCATCTTCCATCAGATCCCTGGTCCTTTGACTGTGCTTAAACGTTTTGGATGTTTCTGTCCATCACAGAAGACGTTAGCATTACATAAATGAAATTAGGACCGGTGGTTTTTCTTTGATGGAATAAAGAGTCTTCGAAAGCCGTCTCTTTTTAACATGTCAGGGTTACAGTGTGACCTAATTTTACACAAAGCTCTGCTTCACTCTTGGTATTTTATCTTTTTCCCATCGCTTTATTCAAAACTCCCAAGTCATACGTAAAAAAAAATAGCAACACTAAGTTACGCTGTGCCTCAATGCGTCCGTAAAGAGAAGACAAGAAAACAGATTTGAAATGACAGCAAAGGAGTAACACATCCACCTCACATGGAAAAAAACTGCTCCAACCCGTACCTGAGCAAACGCCTGTATATATCTCTGGATGAAAAGACACCGAGATAATTTCAACAAATCCCATCAAGGACAGCTCCGACCTTTTGTTGATAGTCAAACTGCTTAATTGGTTGAAGCGGTTTGACCGTGGCATGTTGACATGTCTGTTTGTCTGCGCAGACGGATCATATCACGACTCACCGGGGGGGGGGGAAGTGATATTTTCTACGCGGTTGTGATGTCGGACTGATTTGGCGACGGAGAACTATGTCACACGGATTAGGAAGTGTGATAACCACCACAATCTGGGTTGTTTAAGTTGACCGAGAAACTAAATGGTCAGTTCAATAAAAACAGTCGCTTAACTGATGGTTTGGCCTACTCGTGTAGGTCCAAAAAATGCTTTTTGGAGTGTGTGTGTTTGTGTATTTGGGGGGAGAGGGGTGTCAGCTACTGTTTAGCAATATCTAAAACACAGAGTGCCAGAAATAATCCACATTAAAATGTTGAAATCGTTTTATGAAGATATGTTTCTCATGAACTGGTCCAAGTTTATCATTGGAGAGGCTGAGTTGTCACTAACAGCATATCAAACAACAAAGAAAAATCCTCTTTTAACACATTTCTCATCTACATTTTGAACTCCCGTGACTCTTAAATTATGATTTGAATTCATGTTCATTTACAATTTTTAATAGCTTTTTTCCCCCCTGTGCTTCAAAACAGATTTAGTCCAATGTAAATTCTGCTCTCTTCTTTTTCAGAGCATGCAAGCCCTGGCCAGCTGTTTGTCCTCCTACCGTGGGCTGCGGGCCCATTCTCAGAAGACTGTTAGTAGACGGTGGGTCAGATTTATGCGTGTGTGTGTGTGTGTGTGTGTTTAAACTTAATCAAATCTGTTCAATTCAATTCGATATTATTCATATGGCCAAACAGAGCAGGTCAGAGCCTCTGTAGTCAAATTCCCTTTCAGTGGTAAAAAAAAAAAAAGAATAATAATAACTAAATAAATTAATAAAACATGGTCTAATGAAAAAAGATTTCATTTTAGCAAAGCCAATCTGTTTGGTTTGTTTAATTTTTTCTAGAGGAACTGAAGAGTACCTTCAAGAAAAAGATCAAGATATCTTCTTGTCTACTTCTATGATGGAAAATACTAGCTCTTATTTACAATATTCAGTTATTTTTTTATATTTCTCTTTCATGCATATAGTTGTATATATAGTAAAATAAAATATGGATATTATATGCATGTTTTAGTCTGCAAAAAGAAGAAAATGCATCATGTTTGAGTAAATCCGACACCTTGTGGAAAAAACGACCCAACGTAAGCGCACTCACCCTGAGCTCCTTGAAGAAGATGCAGCTCCGGGCCCACTCCACGATGGAGAACAGGGTCTGGTCGGCCATGCGGCACATGAGGCTGAAGGTGCTGGGCTTGTCCAGCCTCCCGCGGCCGCTCTGCTCCTGCTGCAGGTGGCCGACGATCTTGTTCTGCACGGCCAGCTCGTCCGGGTCGCAGCGCAGCAGCTCCAGGACCAGCGGGGGGAGGCCGGGCGGCTGCGGGGAGGCCGACGGGTACGCGTCGGGGTACGGGTATCCGGCCAAAGACTCCGGGGAGCTGGTGTAGTCTGGGCACTCGGCCTTGATGGCCCGGTTCGGGAAGGCCGCGTACTGGTACTGCGCGTTGAGCGGGACGTGGGGCTGCATGGCCATGCCCAAAGAGTTTGGCGCGTAAAGGTTGCCCTCATAGTCTGACTGGGGGATGGAGGTCGGGGTGGAGGGGAGCAGGCTCTTGGAGATGGCCGGCAGCGTGTGCAGGCTGCCGGGAAAGCCGTAGTCAGTCTGCAGGGGGGAGGCCGCCGGGGGGGCCGCGCTCTCCAGCTTGAACCCGTTGGATCGTATCAAAGCCTTCTTCTGCTGCTTCAAGGCCCTGTCTCGCTTGTACATGGGGCCAAATTTATTCCTCCCCCCACGCATGCGATCTGCGCGCACCGCTATTCGCACAGGAGACAAGAGGTGGGAAAAACAGATTTCAATTCAATTCATTTTTATTTATATAGCGCCACATCACAACAACATTTTGTCTCACAGCGCTTTACAAACAGAGCAGGTCAGACCCTACTCTGAAGATAATTACAGAAACCCGACAATTCCCACCATGAGCAAGCACTAGGCGACACAGGCAAGGAAAAACTTCATTTTAACAGGCAGAAACCTGGAGCAGAACCATGGCTCATCTGCAGATTTGCAGGTGAAAAAATGGAAGCTCGATTCCTCTCTCCACATTTGTGACACTATTGCATGAGCACTTGAACCGTAAACCCCGTTTTCAGAGGTTCTGCGCAGCCATTTCCCACACAGTCAACAACAGGCCGGGCCGGTTTGTGCCGGCTTCCCTTTTTAGGGCTGAGAAGAATCCCCAGTGTCTGTGCAGCTCTTTACTCCTTCTTCCCTGGGGAGTCTCCAGGGTTTTTATCAGCAAAGTCAAGAATGTGTCCTTTTTTTTTCTGCTACGGAAGCAGGTGCTTTCCTTTGGATTGCTGTCTGGGAATTCATCTCAGCCCATGCGTGTAGTAAAAAAAACGAGATATTTCTATAGTTTTTAACCATGTTGTGTATATTTACATATATTACACACACACACACACACCCATCTCTTTCTCTCTCTTTCTTTCTCTCTCTCTCTCTCTCTCTCTCTCTCTCTCTCTCTCTGTATACATATATATATACACAACTGTACACACACATATATATATATGTGTGTGTGTGTGTGTGTAAGCATGTATATATAAATAGAAAGGCAACAAATCAAATATGCATTCTTATACAGCAACTATGATTTCATAGAATTAAACCCTTTTTTACCCTTTTTGTTCCTTTTTTAATTCATACGAACCAGACCCAGTTTTTCTTCAAAGAAAATAAAAAAAATGACGAAAAAAAATAGAAATCGTTTGTAGAAAAATAGAAAATGTTCAGGTACCACCAAATATCAAAGATCTGTGATGTTACATTGACGTTTTTTTTTAGTAAATTGGTTTTAGTTTCAATTGTTTTTTTAGTAAATTGGTTTTAGTTTCTATTGTTTGTTACACCTGTGACACTCGGGGTTAATAACGGTTTAGTACAATCTGTTTTCCTGTTGTTGTTGTTGTTGTTGTTGCTGTTTTAATTAGGAGTGGATTGTGTCGCGTACCTTCGAGACGCATGCCGACATTGAGGCATTTCTGGAAGCGGCAGAAGGGACATCTCTTCCTCTGGGTCTTGTCTATTTTACACTCCTGGTTCTCGGCACATGTGTACCGTTTGTTGTTCTGTACTGTCCTCTTGAAGAAGCCCTGAACGGAGACAATGTTAATGTTAAGACATGTTAATTTACATAGAAACATAGAAACTAGAAGAAATGTTTGTGCACAGGAAAAAAACCTTGGACACAAAAACTCGACGATCTTTGTCTTTTTTCACAGCAAAACTAGTATAAAACTGTGATTTAAAAACATATGAAATGGCGGAATATTTTACTTAAAAAGTGAAAATTGATCATGTGCCTAACTTTTGCCCTTTTTTAAAATAAGGCAACTAATTCTGTAAAAAATAATAATAATTTCCCATCCATCTATCCATTATCGTTATCGTTTATTGCCTAATGGGGTAATAAAAAAAAAATCATTTTTAAAGATTAAATAAATTCCATAAGGAAAACTCCAAATTCAGAGGGAGGTTCGCCTTTACCAGCTCAACTGGAGCTCAGGACAGATGTGGGGGGTTCTGGGTTGTCGTTAATGGCTCAGTAATAGTGTTAAAGTGTGTGTGTGTGTGTGTGGGGGGGGGGGGGTTACCTTGCAGCTCTCACAGGTGAGCAGACCGTAGTGGTACCCGGACACTTTGTCTCCACACACAGGACACAACTCTTCCAGGTCATCGTCATACGTGTATTCCATTACCTTCAAAGCCACACCTGACACACACACACACACACACACACACACACAGCGCACGTGCTCCATCAGCAAACGCGAATATAGAATCATCAGAATAAAAAATACTGCTTTAACCATCGGGAGGAAATTGTTTGGGTCAGAAATACTCGAGATGGAAAGACAGTTAATACAATAAAACAAGTTATTACGTTGTTACACGTGATTTTAAATCACCTTAGAATATATAGGCTATTATAATGTGATTTAAAGTCGCATAAAAACCAATAAAGGCAATTAAATATTTGTTATGATTTATTTTTTACATAAGATACAGATTTAGTTTCATTTAAAACACTTAACACTTCAATTTAAGAAAAAAAAACAATTCCCAACCTTAAGAGAATATTTATGTATTTGTCTAAGCTAAATATTGTGTGTTCGTTAGATCCTTCGAATTATGTGTGCTGACTTTTTCTAAATAATAATTAGTAACCTTGTTTGTTATTTTTCTTTCACTATTCCCGGTGTATCCAGTTATTCAAACTTTCTCACATGCAGCCGTTGGATGATTCATCGATTAGCCTTTAACAAATGAGATTGTATATATATATTTAACCATTTATCAATTTGCTATAATAGAAGAAATAGAAGAAAATAAAAGAGCCGGTGTGTTCTGCTCGGTTTGGACTTTTTCCAGACACTAAAAGTCGGTCTGAGAGGAACAGAAAGCCAAAGAGTCGCGCACGTCTCACTTTCCCATAAAAAATAAATAAAAAAAGCTCTGGGACAGAATCTTTAAAAAATACTATCAAAAGAAAGCGCGTTGACTAAAAAAGATGGAAATAAAAACAGGTCTTTGCTGAACTTGGGCCAAACTCCAGTAAAGACATCAGGATCCAGCGCGCAGACCGGGAGGGCCGCGCGAGGCTGCGCGCGCCTTCGGGCGTCTGTTTACGGACTGTTTGGGAATTTTAGGACGGAATTATGTTTCTTCTGCCCTCAGCATCAGGGGCCAAGAGATATGAGCTACACACGACTGGCAGGTATTATGTCATTCCACTTATTTTGGACTGTTTTCTTTCAATTATTGTTATTATCCTTATTTTTCATACTACTATTATCATATTACAATACTATACATTATCAGTAATAATGACAATAATAGTATTAACATTATTATGGTTAAATTATTCATCATTAACTGTTTTTTTCCCCTTTTTTTAGGCTGCTGCATTCCTTTCCAGTAGCTATAATTGTGAGCTCTGTAAATGTAGACTGCAGGCCAATATCAGGCAGACTGCTTTCATTTTCAATTTCAATTTCATTTTTCATATGACAATTCTAATTAATTATGATTAAAAATCGCAATTTCAGCTTTTTTGGGGGGCCTTATGGTCAATGATTGGTTGTCGGTCAAATTGCTGGGCTGAAATCGCTGCTCCTGTCTTCTTTTTCCCATTTTTTATTTTCCTGCGTAGATAATTATTGCTGGTAAAAACCGATGATGGCAAGTTTATACGGTCAAGTTCAGAACGGGAAGTCTGGGTCCACAAAATCCTGGACGAAACCTGTTGATTTGTTTTTTTACCACCCCAAAAAACGTGACTGAGGGATAAAATAATAATTTTAAAAAAAGACGCGCACCAAAAGTCTCACGCGCTGTGAACGCACGCGGACAAAAAAGCGGACCGGACTTACCTTGAGCCTTGTCTCCCAACATCTGAACAGCAGCCAGCCAGCGACGATTGTCCGAATTCAAACCTGAGGATGTCTGCTGTGTGCCTCTCTGCTGCAGCCTCACATGGAAAAATCAAATCAAATAAAAAATAATAATAATAAAAGGAAGCGCGTACAACTCCAGACGGGTGGACCTAGAGCTTTTTTAACAACTGGACTGCTTCGGGGGGAGCCAGAATGGCCAGCGGTAGCCCGTCAGTCTAAAGATGACCATTGACGACCAGGGAATGAAACTCTTTTTTAGTCCGATCATTCTTTACTGTCCTTCCCTTATCGCCCGAAGTTCGCCTGCCTCGCCGCTATTGGCGGAGGCCGGGTCACGTGAGGGATGCTCGCTGCCTCCTCGGGGGAGAAAAAATAAAAAAAACTAATAAAAAATGCAGGAGACAGAGGAGCAGAGCGGTGCCGATGGAGACGCGTCGATCCGCATCCAAACGCGCAAAAGGGAGAGTTTTGAGCATTTTTAACTTAATTTTGGGGCTTTATCGTAGTTGAATTAATCAAATAATGGTTCTGAATCAGTGGAATCAGTCTGATTTGATGTCACTGGCTTTGCAAGTGTACAACATAATTGGAAAATAACAGCAATAACACAAAAAATGAGGATACTATACCAACTTTACGCAAATACATATGCATGAATAGGCCTACGTTTTCTTTTTCAAAGCATTTTTATCTTTAAAAAAACATTCAGATGGGAATGTTTCTCCTTCTGTGCGTTCTGGGTTATTTAAAACGTTTCTATATTTGTCTGATGACCGTTCGGGTCCCCGGCAGTCAGAGCGCATTTCAGCAGAATGGGGGGGGGGACACACCGGCATTAATAATAATTGACTCTGTCAGGGCATTTTGCTTGGTAAGCGCGATTAAAAAGCCCCCAGTGCCTATTGTTAGCCCGGGCAGGAAGCGCTGGGTGGCTGCTGGGGGTCACCGCGTGGAAATAGCGCACAAAGCTGAGGGCCCTTCACTGTTAGCGCACCGTGTAGGCTGAAAGACAGGAAAA